CACTACATCTGTTCATGCATTGGAAACAGGTCTCGAAACTGTTCGGTACTAATCCGCAGTATCCATCTCGGAATTTGCGGCAAGTATTGGTATACTTATCAAAGTACCATCGCCCTTTACGGCCATAGCATTTTTCGCCGTACTTTCTTCGGCTACAAACGCTTTTCCTCATCTTGTTTCTCGCTAGGGAATGAAAAAAAGAACATATCAAATTTACATGCATATACCCTGTTTTTCCTCACTATATTTTTTGTCCGTTAAGAGCGTCATGCACTTGTGCCCGAAGTACCATTGCAAGGTTGCTTTATCCCAGACTGGCGTACTTCGAGTCACATCAAACGTAAATGTGCGCTCTCATGGGCTGTGTCGTAGTCCTAGGACTTCGTTGTTCAGAGATTTGTTCGTTAAAGGTCGTGTGCTGCCAATACACACTCGTGGCGAGATGGCATGTGCTACATATCTTCAGCTAATAAATAAAAAACGTCTACTGCCAGATATTTGTTACGAAGGCTCGATGATTTCAATTGAAGAACTAATTTCTCTGTGAAATCTTTTTGTGGTCTCTGGTGTGCTTACATCGTCTATTCAAATGCAGCAAATCACCCGTTTGTTACTTCCAAGTAAATAAACGGAGAGCACCCCTTTACCGCAATCATTAGACCACGCTGCACACTCAACCACGCAGTGTGATTCTCAAGCAACCGCTTCGGTCAGCGAGCGATGCATAAGCATAACAGTTTCTTAACGTACTTGTTAGCTCAATTATTATCCAAACAGAGTCGCATAGACACATTTAGGGCATATCAATGTCATCATATTGTGAATATTTGGAACAGTTACGTACTACAGTTTTTGTTTCTTTTTGCTGCAGTATGGCACTGCCGACGTACTAAAGAAGACAGTAATTGAACATTTTGATGACAAACGACACCATTAGTAGTATTGTATATTTTTTAGGGTTTTATAGGAACTAAACAGCACAGATGAGTACCAAGAGAGAGAGAGAGAGAGAGAGATAAATAGGAAGAAAATGCAGGGAGGTTAACCAAGCTTGGCTCGGTTGGCTACCCTACACTTGGGTTGGGGGAAAAGAAGAATAATAGAAAGGAAAGATATAGAAAACAAGAGGAGTAAGAAAGTGAAGGATGAATAGTTAGCTCGAGACTACACAGCACGGTCTCACACTGTTCTTTCACTAGTGGTCGTGAAGTCTGGTGGTCCTTAAAGAGCACAAGAGGGCTTTCGTGGCTTTGTGCGTATGAAAAGCCGTTGGTCAAGGTTCCAGGATCTTCTCTTCTGTAAGCGGCCGTAAATTCAGTTGACAGAGCTTGGTTTCCATAATATGTCGTTCAGACTGGTATGCTGGGCAATGGCATAAAGTGTGCTCAAGCGTTTCCTTGCAGATGCAGATGTTGCATGCCGAAGTGCTCGCCATTCCAAGGAGACGAGAGTACGCATTCGTAAACACCAAGCCAAACCTCATGCGACACAGTAAAGTTTCAGCGCATCGTGGAAGCCCGGATGGCAAACGAAGTTTAAAGTTTGGGTCGATCGAATACAGATGCGTGTTGGAGAAACCCGGCGTATTCCATTGTAGGAGAGTTAAACGGCGAGCCAGTGATTGTAGTAGCCTTGCAGCGTCCGTTCTCGGTCGTTCTCGTCTGTTCTATGGTCGTGTCGTACGCTGGCCTTGGTCATAAGCCGATCGAGCAACTTCATCCGCGTGGTCATTGCTGACAATTCCGCAATGACTCGGCAACCACTGAAATACAATATTGTGACCTTCCTTGAGCGCTTCGTGGTAGTCGTGCCTTATCTGAGATACTGGTTGTTCATGTAACCCGTGATGCATAACAAACCGTAGTGTCTGTAAGGCTGACCTCGAGTCGCAAAAGATGGCCCATTGGTTAGGTTGCTGGCGAAGAATGTACTTTACTGCACCTTGAAGTGCTGCGAGCTCTGCTGCTGTCGACGTCGTGGTGTGAGAAAACTTGTACTGAAGCAACACATTTTCAGATGGAACAACCACTGCTCCTGTGGAGCTGTTGGAATTAGTGGAGCCATCGGTGTATGTGGTCGAAGTACCTTTTGTCCAACACACGAAAAGTCAATTGCTTCAGGCCTAGCGGTGACAAGCGTGCCTTCTTAACTATTCCAGGAACTGATAAGCACACGTCAGGTTGAAGAGAATCCATAACGCAGCTGCAGGATGCATCGCTAGTTTGAAGCCTGGCCGTAATATGTAGTGATGTTCTGTCAAAATACCGCATAACGAAGAGTGGGGCCTCCGCGCTGTCAACTACGCTAAATGATGCGACGGTAGCCGTGATAAATGCCGAATGTGCGCTCTCAGCGTCTCGACAGTGATATGCGTTGTGACTGGCTGTTCTTGTGCGATAACAATAGTTTTTACTGTCGATGAGCATCTTGGAAAGCTAAGACATGTCCGAAGTGCTTGGGCTTGTACGCTTTGCAGTGCACGGATGTTAGTCTTGCGCGTGTTGGACTGGACAGGAAGGCTGTACCGGAAAATTCCGAGAAAGAGGGCTGTATAAAGCTGCCACATGGAGTGCACGAATGGGCCCCATAATTTTCCAGCGACGAGCTTGAGTACATTCTCCGTGCAAATGAGCTTTTTCTTAAGGTATGTGACATGCAGGCTCCACGTTAGGTCACGATCTACGATCACACCTAAGAATCTACGACTGCACTTATATGTGATTGATCTGCCATCAATGCACAATAGGTAGAAAGACATCGGTTTGCGTGTAAATGCTACCACTGCGCATTTTCCTGTGGTGATAGTCAAACCTTGTTGGCGAAGATATGCAGATGTCGTTGTGCCGCTTTCTGTATCTTTGCACGCACTTGAGGTCGTGTCACGCCGGACGCCCAAATGCAGATATCATCAGCGTAGAGAGATCTATAGGCCGTCTGTGGCAGCATTTCGGTGAGCTCCATGAGAACCAGGTTGAAAAGAGTTGGATTCAAAACACCGCCTTGTGGCACTTCACGACTTGTGAAATGCTTATTCGTAGGCCCATCTTCAGTTAAAACGAACATGGATCTCTTTGTGAGGTAGCTTCTTACCCATCGAAAGACACGACCTCCAAGTCCAGCTGCTTCAAGAGCATTGAGAACAGCCTCGTGGGTAACGTTGTCATAGGCACCCTTCACGTCTAAGAACAAAGCTACCGACAGCCGTTTCTTAGCTTTCTGATGCTGAACAGAGGTCACTAAGTCAATAACGCTATCAATCGAGGACCGACCTCGTTGAAAGCCGCCATAGCATCAGAATAAACGTTATAACGTTCCAGGTACCATTCCATGCGTGTAAGAAGCATCCTCTCCATCACCTTGCCGACGCAGCTTGCTAGTGCTATAGGCCGGTAAGATGCCAAATCTAATGAAGATTTTCCGGGCTTCAACAAAGGCACCAGGTGACTGCACTTCCACTCATCAGGCACCAATCCATCATGCTAAGACTTATTGAAAATGTCCACGAGAGAGCTTTGTGCCTTCGGGCCTATGTGACGTAGGGTAGTATAGTACCAAAGGGTACGTTAGATCTATGATTTCGTTTTTGCGTAACCAGTTATGGGGTTAGTTAATTGAAACGTTTTTTGTATATCGATATGCTCTACGTGGGATGATCTGTCGTCGGTCATTTTAGTGCACTAAATGAAAGTTCAAAGTACTTGCTGCAACTGTAGGACTTGTAGCGTATTGAGGGCTAAAAATAATTAGAGTAAGCTTCCTTGAATTAGCAATTTTCTAACTAGTCTTGTATAAAATCGGCCACCCGATTTCACATATCTTATAAGAAACTGTGTTGTAGAGTATGAGTTATGACACAATACACAGGAAATGTAATGTAACCTCATCTTCACCTATTCGCGTGAATTTTTTCGCTTAGCGAAATAAATTATGTTGTTGCACAAATAGCTTTTTTTTGTATCTAGAAGACTTTCGCAAACACGTGTACCTCAAAATGTCACAAAGAAATAATTGATAATGATTAACATGCTAAAAATGACCTTACTTTATAGTTCCAATTACTTTCGTACTGTTTTAAATGGGATATATTGCATTCGTTCATAAATATAGGCAAGTTTCATATAAATAAAGCATTTAATGAATATAGATATGCCTCATATTATTATGGACTTTTGAAAATAACCTTACTTACGTAGGCAGTACCACTGACACCACATTTCTTTGGAGAATCTGTTGTCGTTTCCGCCACACCCCGAATAAAAAAACATTTTGCAGTTTCGTATTCTCGGATCATAGTACCACTTCCTAAAAAGACCTTTGCAGCTGCCGTATGACGGACGCAGGAGGCAATACTTATATGAGCATTCTGCAATGTCTTAGAAAAAAATAAGAAAAACAATTACACATCTTCTGTAAGGAAATACATCTTATAAAACAGCGTAAACTGTTAAGGGGACAGCCAGGTCGGAAATTCACTATAAGTTTTCTTTGACGTCATTTTTAATTTTTAACTTTTCAAGTGCACTGCATAGTAGTTTTACATAATGCGGCAGATGTGCACACAAGATATCGGCGAAATCAACTTGATTAGCAGAAATGTAAATATTAGACTTATTTTCCATATTAACAGAAAATAGATGATAAACTTAGGGTTATGAGACTTGCTAGAAAAAGTTGCCGGTGGGCAACATTGTTTTTTCGATAACAAATGGGCAATATAAAGGGCCACACTTTGTCAATCAGCGTCCGCTTTCCCGAAGAATTGGTAACGACGCCCTCACAGGAGCTAGCAATAAAGGCAGGGTATAGCTGTGCCTTAGGACATAGAGTCTCCCATTATTACCCTAGATTGAACTCGAGCGTTAGTGGTTATAGGAGCTGCAACGCATGGCGCTGAAGCGAACATAAGAATGATGTGTAATGCAAGGATCGATTTGTGCAATGTTCGTATTTTTGGCTCCGTTTGGCTTCGCATGGCTTCCAGCTGCTGTGTCACGAGACGACAGTCAACAAATGTTCAGCAGGTCCACTTCCCAATCGTGACCTGATTAGTCTCACTGATTCTAATAGAGTCATGGAGTTCACAATGGCTCTTTTTTTTCAAATTTGAAACAAAGCTAAAACGCTTTAATAAACAAAGCCACAAGTGTGAACAGCCCGCACGACCTAAGACTAAAAAAATTCATGCACTACTCATTATTCTCATGCTGGCTTAACGATCGCAGCGCCAGAAACCCCTCTAGTTAGTCTTATAGGCACTCTAAGCCTTAAGGATGTGGTACCTGTGAAAGAGAGGTTGTCCAGCTGGCCTAGCGCCGTTGTGAGGGCTGCCTTTTCGGTTTCGAAGCGCCACTGTTTGGCTGCACCTGCATACTTCTCATAGCAGGATGCAAACCGTTCTAATAATAAGTGACCATGGCATTTGGATTGCTCTACATACGCACAATGAGCATAGCAGAAAATAGCATGTAGCTGGAGTTCAAGTTTGCGCAAGAGGAGTTGGATTTATTGGTGTATACCATATATATTGGTGTATTTATTGGTGTGTACTCCTCACCACTCCCTTTCTCAAGTACTCTTTTCTCTTTGCTGAGTCACAGGCAAGAACACGCTATTTGACGAAGGCCGTCGCTTTTGCCTTCTCAAGAATTTTTTCCCAGATTCCTTGAGTCGCGTCTTAAAAATTTCGAAAGAAACAGACAAGCGTTCCTCGCAAGGATTCAGATTCAATGCGTTTTAACACATACAAAACTAAAATAAAATGTGTCCTGCCTGGGTGGTAATTTTTTAAAAGTAACTGGGTGACAGCACTGAAATACGGAATGTTAGGACTTCCTCAAAAAAAAAAAAAAGTCCTATCACTCCAGATTTCAGTGCTGATTTCAGTGCCTCATGGTTGTTACTGGCATGGCTGCCAACAAAACAAAACAAACCAACCAACGAAACAAAAAAAAAACCTGTGCAGCTAGTCTCTTGAGTAGGGCAGCGCAAATATACAACGGGCTTGACAGCACGGGGATGACATGGTTAGCAAAAGCGTGTTGTAAGAAGGCTAGTTTCTGACGCTAATTTCCCAGCTGCACCTTTCCTCCTTTTTAACTAAGCACATAGTTGCCAGAATTAGTGCAAGGCAACTGCTTAGCTGCTGTTAGTCCAGTCTAAAACGACATCAGTCTTTCGGGGGCTCACTGCGAAGTTGCTGTTATTCGCACACACCGGTACCACACTTGTTATTACAAATTTTTAGCATATAAGGCCGCTCAGATATAAGCATACCATTTCCGGATACCTAAATAGTAATAAAGGAAAAGTAAATTTTTCTGTGCTTATAAGTATTCAGAGTTGGATCACTTGTTCTGCTAACAAAAACGTTTCCACCTCAGCAACAAAATAATGCAAACTAATATATATTTTACTCCATACGCTACAGACACCCTTGAGAAATTTATCATAAATTTCTGCGTACCGTTTGCGTAGAGGCTGAAAGTGAGCAGGAAAACTAGTTTCTTGAATGCCGCCACTGTGCTGAAACTCGCGTAAGCGAAGCTTTGCGGGAGTTATTTTTGCTTAAGCTCGTAGGCAGCCTGATGGCTGTGAAGTTGCGCCAGTTCTTCTTTTTTCAACAGTTGTTTGGAGAAGAAGTTCAAGTAAAACTCCTCTATTTGACCATGACGGGAAGTGACTGCACGAGTAATATTTAAAATCCACGATGATGCATAGGTTGCTCCATACGTAACTTTCTTTTCTTTTCTCAAGGCCTGTTATTGTGCTTCCTGTCTCGAGCTGAAAGGACATATATACCATCTGGAACAAAAACAAGGGCCTTTCAAGTCTTATATACAATGTATGGATGTTTAGAGCTAATCCATCTCGAAATTCCAGGGAGCTCTTCCACTTTTCTTCCTTTACATTAGTGATCCTTATGCTTTACATCTTATTTATTAATAAAATCCTCCCCTGATTATCTTGAAAGCATCGAAAGACATTACTAACGAGATCGTCAGAACTCCTATGGCCAGTTGTAGAGACTTTAATTGAAATTATTTGAAAACCATGAAGCGCAGCTCATTACTTTCATAATCAGCGGACGCAGCGCAGCAAGCCCGGTTCGATCGTTTTCGCATATCAGCAAATACAAACATGTGAGGGTGAAGAATTATTAATTGGTGACTAAGACATACGTTGGTGGGAAGAAAAATTTGTGATATAATACATAAAATCACGAGACCGCACACCGGTTCCACAAACCTTGGCCTGTTTACGCATCATTCCCCAAATTAGAGCTCACGAATATAGGAGTCGCATCGAATAAAACAAGAGTCTCATTAGCATACCTATTATTGTGTTGTAGATATACAATTTCACCATGCATCACACCAAGTAATTAGGATTCCACAATTACTAATAAAAAGGTGTGAAAATAAATGAGAGAGGCAAATGTCAAGGGTGGTTTCCTCAGTCCAGAGGACCAGGACCAGTGGCCTCCACTGCTCGCCCGGCTCCATCCGGAAGACTGTGTGAAAAGCGCAACGTGGCAGTGGTTTAAAAACCGAACTATTTTAGATCACTGGGGGATATTACTCTGCGCATACTGCCTCACGAATGTGTATTGTAAAATATTCTGCTCATTCACAACATTGTTGATCGGTGGATGCGTAGCAGCCCGTTCACAAGTTCATAAAGGCGCATATGAAGAACTGATAGTAAACATCTCAGGTATCCATTTGATTTGCATCTTCTTCGATGCTTACGTTGTGTGCCTGTACACTACTCCAGAACCAACAATACGAACTGCGAGGGAAGAACATGACTGCTGTTTAATTCATCGTGACCTTTAGCTTCGTATTAAAAAATCAGCCACACAATTCTTTAACAGGACACACGGCTTGTTTGGCTGATGTGTACTTAAATTAGGCATCATGCCAACCACGTAATTCATACACCGACAATGGAATGACGGATCTTGATAGGTTCACACTGCGAGAAGACATATTTGGTGGCACAACTTCTACGTTTTGCGTCTATTAGTTTTGCTCTAAATGAAGCACCGATGGGGACGTATCCTCATAGCCAGCTGTCTGATGTATTGTGGTTCACCAACGTAACGCATTATTACGTTAATAAACAACCGCTTATGACGGTGAAACATTTCGACGTGTGCTCACCATTTTTTTATTTATCAGTTCCTGTTTTGTACAGCAGTTCTATTCCGTATTGTGTAAAATTGTGTAAAGCTAGGGGCACGCATAAATCCGATGAATGTGCCATTCTCATCTGACGCAGGAATGAATTGCGTTTAATGATTGACGCATCCCATATTGATAATAGTGGCAGCACATGCACAATCCGGCTACCGATTAACCTACGTGAAAACGAATCAAGTGTGTCAATAGTTATCTCTCGCGTAGACCTCAAGGCGTGGTGGATTGATACGTTTTTCTATCACACGGTCATCCACAGATAAGATTTCATGCCTTCCTTCTTTTCACTGTTGTGCGCCTTTGCAGTTGTAGTTGGCTATACGTGACAACTTGAATCCCTTGTTGGTGTTTACACGCCCTATCTTTTTAACATGATCTATTGATGTCAGAATGTCTACACAAAGTATCTCACCTTTTCTAACGCAGTGCCTTGGCGGCTGCTGGTGTGCAAAAACCCTTCCCGAACATAAAGTTCATTCCATGACCGGGTGACAGTATTCTTACGCTACTGTCACATTTCTTTGAGATTACAAATCTTCGTTGCACTCATGGACAACTAAATAAAAAGCACCGAGAAGAGTACTTTCCCTCAAAGGTTTCTCAACACATTATTATTTATTTCAATCTCTTAAAAACAATCTTGCTAACTGGAACCCTTCACAAGCGTGTCTTCAACGCGCAGTTCTGACCTTACGCCAGAAGGTACAGCAGCCCTCCATACCGGTGCGTTCCCATTCTCTGTTGCCGGCTGTGTGGCAAGGGATGGTTGTGCTACCGCGTTCATCGACGTCGGTTGTGCCACCATTATTGGCGACATTGGCTGTGCCATCGTTGTTCCCGGTCCCGCCGGTGGGAACTGTGAGGTCGCCCCCGTAGAAACGTGTGGTGGAGGAACCATGAGCTTGCCCGCGATGAACTTTTTGAAGAACTCATACTCAAGGTACCGGCACATCAAATAGGGATTGTAATCTGCAATAAAAACAGGTTGGTTTAATATAGATAAATGTAACTATGACGTAGTTCATAGTAAAAGGAGACAACTAAAATAGAACGTTTAGCAAACACGTGATAGGTATTGTAGGAGACTAGGTTCTTCCAAAGTTCAGAGATCGAAACAAACACCTGCCTTTCAACAACGCAGAGAATACTTCTGGATGGAATGCGAAGAGTGAGTCCCCTTTCAATGATTATGAACAGTGAGCTTTAATCGCATGCAAAACTGGACTGGTTTGTTGATAGTCATGAAACAAAGACCGCAGGAAGACGGTTGTACGACACGCAAGCGATGTACGACAGGAGCCGAGCTGTCGGGTTATTTGCGCATAAATGCATGCATGACAATAGTCTGACTACGCGCATTACATCATATAGCATAAAGTTTCCACATTTTTCGTCGAGGCCAATTTCATAATCACAGAGCTGGATAAGTGAGGTAGATTGGCAAAACTATTGCTGATTTTCTATGAGAAGATCTACATGATTTCAATCGATCTTTGATCCACGTAGCTAAAGCCGACATGCGTGGTATTAACGAAGGTTTACAAATATACTAGTGGTAATAAAATTTAAAAATATCAAGTGAGCGGGCTCTTCAGTACTCTGTGCTGGCGTAGGCTCTTGCTAAGACAGACAGCAGTTGGCCCATTGTATCTTTTACATCAAGCTAGGAAAAAATTGTATACAACATCACATACACATGGTACAAAACGAGTGAAGTAATTCACGGAGCACATACTTTATTGGAATTACCATGTCTTTTTCGTATGCGTTGCGTCACAAGCTGTTTAATGAGCAGACAGAACGATTTTGGGACGACGACGAAGTGTCTATTTCATAGAACGCTTGTACCCTTGTCTCAAATTTTCTATTTGTTTTACCGCAAATTCTGGGAGCTGCTGCTCCCTCCTTGCGAGAATGGATGAACAAGCCTTTCAAGATTTTCGAGGTGGACAACCGCTACGTCTGGCAGCGGCTAGGAAACGTGGGACCACCTCAAGTGGCACAGACAGCGAGGCAACGGAGCTCTATTCCGACGGTTTCGAGTCATCGGATGACGACTACACAGTCGTCATGAGCCCGCAATGCAAAAAGAATACTGCTACGAACATCGTCGACGACGAGTATATCCACCGTGCAGGCTACCGCGCAGCGTTGGCCACACACTATACTCTTCATGGCTGTGGAACCTTCAGCCAACCTACGGCGGCTTAACAGGCAAGTCCTCTCTGCATACCTCGAAGGACTCGCTCCAAATGAAATGAAAGACGTCAGGATACACTCACGGAAGAATATTCTGGCAGTTGATGTTCTACACCGTAGTGCACTGCAACGCCTGCAGAACATCCCGGAAATCGACAGAGTGACAGTTAAATCAGTGATCCCCACTGACTGTAAGGGCAGTGTTGGCGTCATTTATGACGTGGACATTTCCATTCCCGCTGACGATTTCCCAATCTTGATAAAGCCAACTACAGACGACATCCTCATCAAGCACATCACAAGGCTTGGTCAGTCACGATGCCTGAAGATTGTTTTTGAGGAAGACAGTCTTCCCCCACACGTCAAAGTTGGCCACGTTCGCCATCAAGTCCGTTTATACATACCGAAGCCCCTACAATGCTTCAGATGCTTCAAGATGGGACATGTCAAAGGAGTATGTACCAGCAATGTCATGTGCCCGCGGTGTGCCGAACCTCATTCAGAAGACACCTGCCACGCAACTGCTTTCAAATGCTCCAATTGCCACGGCGCTCATAAAGCGTCGTCTAAAGATTGCCCACGAGTGAGGAATGAACGCGCGGTGCTGAAACGCATGGTGCGCGACAATTCAACGCACAGGGAAGCCGCTGCTACTGTCAGGCGACGTCGGCGTCCCCACAGAAGATCATCACGCAACGTGGCATCTGCCGATAGAGACCCGTCATCTCAAGCAAGAAGAACTGGCCCCTCATCGTCAAGCTCTGCGAAGACGGATACACCGAAAACAAAATCAGGGTCAAGACTCCCACATCGTGAAGAGTGGCCATAACTTCCACGAACACAGCCTGTTTCAGAGGTGCATCGATTCCCGCCAACCTCGATGCCATCACGAACCACTGATGAAAAGACAACTGAGGATCGCCAGGTCATCAACATGTTGCAGACCCTTATGAGCGCAATGCGCATGCTCCTAAGCAACATGAACACCCCATCAGCGCAGAGAGCACTCCAAGTGTTGGACACTTTGAGTCCAGTGCTTGCAGCTCTAGGGTAAAACGATGGCCCGCAACATGTTATCCTTTCGCGAGGAGGTCAAGAACGCATCTGTCCATCAGTGGAATGCCAGAGAACTTAGGGCGCGTATGTCCGAGTTCCGTCAATATGTATTCACAAACCAGTTCTCCATAATTGTGGTTTGTGAACCGAACCTGTCAGCCCAGATGAGACTGTCTGGATATGAGTGCTTTATGTCTTCTACCCATGGAGAACGCAGCAAGGTCGTTGTGTTCATACGGCGTGACTTAACTTATGTTCATCACCCTGTACCCCCTGACAAAGAAAACCAGTACGTTTGCCTAACAGTAAAAAACAAGAAGACCACATTCCCCATCATCGGAGCCTACTTACATCCATCAAGTCGTCTAGACCGAGAGCGCTTGCGCGGAATTTCGAATTCAACTCTCCAGCCATGGGTGATAACTGGTGACTTCAAGGCCCACCACTACTTATGGGGAAGCTCCAGGGTCAACACTAGAGGTAGACAGTTAGTGTCTTTCGCTTCTGAATGTGAACTTATCCTCGTGAATGATGGCAGCCCTACTTATCTGCGCGGATCGGCCTATAGCAGTTGCCTGGACCTCACTTTCGTCTCACGCTTGTTCACACGAGAGTGCACTGGTTTTCGAATTTGGGAAACAAGGGGTAGTGACCACATTCTAACATATCTGAAGATTGACGGCTTTCCAAGTCTCAAGTCCTCCAGAGCCGTCCAGTGCACCGATTGGCAAAAATACAAGTTAATCATGGAAGACTATGTTGGCGCCTCACCTTTCAACCTAGAGGACGCAATAAAAAGTGCCCTACAGTCAACGACGCGTTCGCTTCCGGTGAGCTCATCTCGCACTGATATGGACATTGATCTCGAGAAACTCTGAGCGATTCGTCGTAGTGCAGAGCGACGTTATAGACGCACGAGGTCACTTGATGATCTGAGAGTGGCCAGACGCACACAAAAGAAAATGCAGCGTCACATGGACAAGTTGGCCAAGCAACGATGGGTATCTTTTTGCGAGTCTTTGGATCCCAGAAAGCCTCTGTCACTAATCTGGAGAACTGTCCGGGGTCTTCGTACAACCATTACTCAGCGCTACCCATTAAAATCTCTGGCACTTCACTTACGCTGCGAAGAGATTGATGTCGCAGATTCCTTCTGTCGAAGGATTGCCTGCGGCTCAAATTCAACTGGGACAAACGCGCCCGACTTTTCTATATCCTCACGTGATCCCCGAATGGAGATTTTGTTTTCAATGGACGAACTAAAGGCTGCGCTTGCTTTGTGTAGACGTTCTTCAGCGCCAGGACCTGACGGCATTACTTACCGCGCTCTGTGTCACCTAGGAGATCAAGCTCGCCAGGCACTCTTGCAGCTGTACAACGACTCCTGGCAAACTGGCATGGTTCCACAGGAATGGAAGTCAAGTCGCCTGATTCCACTTCTCAAAGCCGGCAAGTCACCCTTGGATATTTCATCTTACCGCCCGATTGCGCTCGCGAGCTGCGTGGGAAAAGTTATGGAAAGGATGATTTTAACGCGTCTGGATTGGTACTTAGAATTCTACGAAATATATCCAGATGCCATGTCCGGGTTCAGACGAGGCCGCTCGTCAATTGACAATGTAGTTGACTTGGTGACATATGTAGAACACCAGAAGGCCTGCAAGCGTTTATCTGCTGCTCTATTTCTTGACGTTAAAGGGGCCTACGACAATGTCACCCACGAAGCCATTCTCAGCGCACTAGAAGGAGTGGGACTCGGTGGCAGGATATATACGTGGGTTCAGAGCTACCTACAGAATAGATCATTCTAGGTGCAGACAGAGAATGGCCCGACACCGGAGTATTACTGCAGCCGAAGAGTCCCACAAGGCGGAGTGCTAAGCCCGACGCTGTTCAACCTAACACTCATTGAACTAGTTGGCAAGCAACCAAGCAGTGTACAACTTTCTGCTTATGCTGATGACATCTGTGTGTGGACATCAGGTGTGACTCGACTTCAACTTCGCGCTCGACTTCAGAAGGCAGCATCAGTGACATCGTACCACTTACGCAAACAAGGGCTTGAAATCGCAAGTGAGAAGTGTGCAGTCGTGGCCTTCACCAGAAAACCAATGTCCGCTTACGGCATATCAATTAACGGGCAGTTGGTGTCATGCAGCCGGAGTCACAGGTTCTTGGGAGTCGTAATCTACCAAAACCTGTCTTGGACACCCAACGTAAACTACGTGAAGAAAAAGCGGATTACTGCCATTTGTCACTTATTCAGGTTTCTTGCTGGGAAAAGTTGGGGAATGTTTGTCGAGTCTATGTTACAGCTGTACAAGGTATTATTTACTCGATTCCTGCGGTATAGCCTACCTGTTATATGTAACACATGCAAAACGAACCTGCGCACAATCCAAAATATTCAAGCCCAAGCGCTTAGGATATGCCTTGGTTTACCCCGCTGCGCATCGACAGCTGAAACAATTGCCATTGCACAGGACTACTCGATCATGACGCACATCACCATTGAAACGATGCGTACGTACCTCCGGCAACATGCTAGGAATCCTTCCCACCACTTGGCAACCCTCGCTACTGAGAGGCCCCGCACGAAATTTAGTGCAATTGTCTGCGCTCATCGTGCGTCGTTTATGTCAGGTTTTACGCCTGCTGAGAAACTGGTGTATCCTCCGTGGTGCCTGACACTTCCACAAGTACGTGTTTCAATTCCAGGAATACAGAAAAAATCAATTTTGTCTTCATCAGCCCTAAAACAATTGAGCTTGAGCCATCTGCACGAAATGTACAACAACCACGTGCACATATACACCGATGGTTCAACCACAGCGTCTGGTTCTGGTGGTGCGGTGGTGATTCCAGCTAGAGGAATCACTCTGCGAATCAAACTGTCACATGCCACTACGTCCACAGCGGCAGAACTTGCGGCTTTTCGTGGCGCCATAGAGTACATCAAATCCCAAAGACCTAGTAAATGGGCGGTGTTTTCCGACTCAAAACCAGCCCTACAGAGCATGCAGTCAGTACTTCGACTCGACGAGGTTGCCATGAACAATTAACTTACGAAGTTGTCAAGCTCGTTCACCACGTCACAGAAACAGGCCACGAGGTCAAGTTTCAGTGGCTTCCTGGCCATTGTGGGATCAGTGGCAATGATTCCGCAGACAACGCGGCTCGTACATCGCACCAAGAAGAACACACCCTTACGATTCCTTTGTCAAGGACTGACGCTGTAAATCAACTTCGTCACCTGGCACGTAGTCTGAGTCTTCAGGAGTGGAAAACCCCAAGCATAAGACATACGAGACTATACCAAATAAACCCTCGACTAGAACTTCGACCTCCATCCGGACTTCGTCGACGTGAAGCTTCACTTTTTTGTCGCCTATGTTTGGGGGTTGCCTTCACAAAAGCATATAGAACCCTCATCGGATTGACCGACAATGCGGAATGCGACGTCTGCTGCATTAAAGAAGACATCGACCATCTGATATGTCATTGCCCTCGATTTGCCTCTGAAAGACAGAAGCTTTCGGACGCATTGCGACAATTAGACGATCGGTCACTCTCTGTGCAGATGCTACTGGAACACCGTCATCGCCTTTCGTCGGCTCAAAAAGCAGTCAAAGCTGTCTTGTGCTTTTTGAGGACTACAGGCCTATGTGACCACCTTTAACTTTTGTGTAGTGCCACCGCTGCATAGGCGCCAGCCGATTGACTGACAATCCTCCTTTTTTTTTCTCTCTCTCTCTCTGTCTCTTCTCTTTCCTCTCTTTCTCATATTTATGCCCCCTTCCTATTCCCCCAGCATAGGGTAGCAAACCGGGCATGTGCCTGGTTAACCTCCCTGCCTTCCCTCTTGTTGTTTGCCCCCCGCTCCCAGAACGATTTTGAGGTCAAAGCATTTTACGAACTGACTAAGCTGATGTGAAAGCCCGTGATCGATTGCGTATATGGTCAACGATGATGTCTTAGGTGTGCGTTTAGCTTTTCAAATGCTTATCAATGGTGTCATTAGGTATTTTTTAGATTTCGTTTTTATGCAAGGCCACGAATATTATGCCGGTCCTTCTGGCGGAGGTTCAAATAACCACTCGCGATCTCCTGTTTCCGGCCTTCTACGAAAGTTGAAAAGTAGCGTTGCTAAGAATTACCTATAGACGCAAGCTAATTCTTGCCACCATGAAATTGTGGTTTGTTTTCGGCAACTAGCAGATCACCTAAATAAATCTGCTTTCCTTGTTTCACCTTGATCACCCACTTAGATCAAGCTACTGAAACGATGAAAACTGTCTGCTTCCGACCTTTACCCCAGTTCTACAATTAGGCCAAACAATGTTGTACTATTTGCATACGGTCATGGGCTTTCACATCGTGCAAGATGTGAAAAGGTTTTGACGTTAATGCTGCTTTATGAGCTTGTAGAAAAGACGGAGATGTTTATTGGTGCTGCAGTGGCTGGCATGTAGACATTGTGGTCTCAAAACAATGGGTGCTTCGTCAATCTTTGCACTAGTTTCGTGCTATGTCTATGTCGTGTATATTTTATGACATCCCGCTAACTTGTGGCAAAAATATTTTGTAGATAAAAATGTCTTCCATAATGAGAGGCTATTCCACCACAACAATGCCTTAAAGCACACTCCTAATTTACATTGAAAATTTCATGTTTACTCATGTTCAATTGTTTCGTAGCGTGCATGTCAACTGCAGACACGTGGAGTTATATGACGTAAAATCACAGTTGTTTTCATGAAATACAATCTTTGCATTTCTGCCTTATCCATCAGCCTACGCGAGTGTTCCGCGAGATCGTATCTAAACGAGTGAGGTGTCAGCCTGACTTCGTATAACAGTACAATATGTTGCTGTCTCATTCATGGCTTCACCCTCCTGATAAAACTGTCACTTTTTGATGGAAAGAAATCGCACACAAGATTTTTTAGATATATTCCCATCAAAGCGTTTGTGGAGTAGTGTGATTCTCGCCCCCTCTAACTCACCCCTATACCTCTAATAAATCATGATTGAGCGGGGGTACTAACGCTAGTACATTGAAGTTTGTGTTAGTAGAGATGAATATAAACTTCAGCCGACTTAATGTTGATAGCAAGGCAGACGTTTAGCAGACATAGTCCTTATGTCGCTAAGATAGGTACAGTTAACACAGACCTAATCAAGAAATAGAAGTTTTGCCTAAGGCTCATTCGCAACGAGACTCACCCCAATTTGCCTCATCCAAATGGAGTAGGACTTCAGCTCACAAAAATATTACTCACCCGGGCTCATTCAAACTTGGACTTGTAGCTTGGATTGAGTTTGAGTCTGCCTGAGTCGACTCTGGCGTCTATTTGTCGACCAATTGCTCCATTTTAGAGATTCCTTGTGCTTCCCAAACTGTATGTGATTTCTATAAGCAATATAATGCGCTTCTGGTTTCATAGGAATGCTACAACAAACATCTCCCTGGAGTAAATTTTTTCCTTAGCGTTAGAGGAAGCTTACTTGTGCACCGGCTCATGCAAGCCAGGCAATTCGGGTAGGTGTTTCTGTTTCCGCCACAGCCGCCGTAGACGAAGCCGCGACAGTAGCCCACTTCAGCGTCGAAATACCACATCGGGCGGTAGGCTTTGGCAATTACCCGGGTTTGGTTTGGCGCTGCAGGACAGTTCGGGTTGAGATGTCACTGAAATAAAATCATACCAAGAATATCTGACGCCTATGCGCAGAGTCCATAGGATTCAAATTCAAACGTGGTGATGGCAAACAGTGAAACGCGTACTGCAATCTTCACTCAAAACCTAACCATAATTCATTGCCGTATTCTACCAGTTGTTGTGCAATGTTTTCTATTATAACGGATGGTATTGTAGTATAGGTACGGCAGAAAGAAGTTTGGTCTTGCGTGCACACCGAATGCACCCCTGCTTTGGCTTAAGCCATACCACACCAATTTGAGTAGATGTTAAACCTATGCGTACGTGGGCCGCCTCGTTGAATCAGTAGCTAGAATGTTCAGCTACTGACCCGTAGGCCACGGATTCAACCCTGGCCGTGGTGGTTGCATTTCTATGGAGGTGAAAAATGGTAGAAGCCATGAGGAAGTGTGCAATATCAGTGCCCATTAAAGAAACACTAAATGCAAATGACAATATTTATGAGAGTGAAAGCTCAATGCCCGAAAATTTCTAGCACAGCAGTATTATCAAAGCAATGTCTCTTACTTACCAAGACATTAAGCTGAATGTACCACACGACGTGCGGCATGAGGGGGACATTTGCGAAATGACCCCAATAACGTGAGAGCATCTGGCTACAGTTTTTCACTACTAATCAAACTAGGTGCAAGAAAGTAAGACGTTTGCGTGCATCAAGAGAGGTAGGTAAAATGCTATTGGCCGTTTCTGTCTGATTTATAGAAATATGAAGTGCCTGGCATTACTACGAAAACGGCGCAAACGGTTCAAAAGCTAGTTTTCGGCTGATTAGACTGAACAGCTGGTGTCATATAGCGGGACCCAGTTAAACCAGGAAGCAGTTTTTCTGTGCGAAATCGATTTAAGTTTCCACCACATCCACTGTATGCGAACATCTTGCACTGCCTTGTTATGGGTTCATAGAACCACCTCAGCTTAACTGCGTCGCATGTTCCCACATCCACTTTCCTGTAACATCTTGGGGGCCACAGAATGGAAACTGTAAAAAAAAACATGATGCTACCTCTGTTTTCTCAATTTAGTGCCTTATTAAATGCACTGGGGAGCCTTACTAGAAGAAACCAATAAATTTTCTAGGCGAAACCATTGATCACTTTGAATGTACAAAACGTGGCCTGACACTATCAAAATCATGAACACATACATTGTCCTGCCTTAATCCATGCCAATGAACCAGACGTGAAAGGGGTGCCTAGTCTATATTGAGGATGTATTACCACTTGACATTGTTCAATCTCTTTGAAGGCTAAAGCAAGATATCTTAAATAACTTGTTGTTCCCTTCAATACAAACCTAAATGCCTGCTGAAGTACACGGCAATGATTGTGGTTTTGGAAGAAGCTTTTGACTAGTTCCACACTTACTCAGACAAAAGCAACTGTGTCGGCAGTGTCTTTATAGAGTGACTGCATGTTGATGAGATGGCCCAATAACCTAACAGAATAAAATAACACTGTTGTTTGGTTTTGTGATAGTAAAGCACAAATCCTTCATTTTTTTGTCAATAAAAGCGCTAATTACAACATCACAATCCGGGGGTTTACGACCTCATATACTTAGTATAAGGTCACTGGTATAATACTTAAATCTATATTTGGGAAAACCAATGTATTTTTTTTACGTTAGTAACGTAACAGTCACCAATCCGAATCTGCTAAAATGCATTGCTTAATTTAACTACCTTAGCTGGTGCCCCAATTTTTATGGGCATGTAGTCGACATGCTGATAGTCTGTATTAGAGCGCGTAATGTATTTTTATAAACAGAGCTGTTTAGATACCCGTGATAAGTTTGTTTCGAACCGGAAAGATTTGTCATTATGAACCGGCGTGCCCTTTCTTCATCTTCTGCTTCATCGTCGTCGTCTTCATCTTCTGGTTTACACCCGAAACACATGAGTCAAGCTTTCCACCGAGATATGCAATAACTTTGATTGGGGATCGAGTAAGTAAATACGGATTTTGAGAGAGAAAGTGTGAAGAAGAAATAAAGTAAGGGAGAACTAGTAGAGAAAGCTCGGATGTTTGCTGGTTCATGATTCGGCCCTTAACACAGCGCAAAAAAAAAAAAAAAAACAGGCATATTTAAAATATTTCCCCCGTACCTGCATGTTTCACTGCAAATGTCGTCGAAGGACGGTATTCTAGCTTCTAGGGAGAGTGAAGAAAGTGTATATTTGATGTTCTGCGCGAGCGAATTGGTTAATTGGATTCTCGAGGCAGTGCCCCGATGTGCGCAGCGTATAGCGTATAAAATGCATCGAGGTGCTTTACGGTGTGAAACATGAGGGTCATCTGGAGTTATGTTAGATAAAGAAGGATGGCCTCTAATATGCAAGTGGTGACGAGCGCGCCTGTCTCGGAGGTCATATAATGAGTGTTTAAAGCCATTTTGCAATGCGTAATCGCCGTGGTTGTTTTCGAACCACAGGCGGACACAGACGTCATGGTCAAAACCAATATGCCACTGGAGAAACTTCAGCCGAAAACGGCGTTCACCTCGGCGACCGCACAACATTGGTGCCGCAACACCGCGTTGTTGCGAGCCTCAGACGTCGCGAGCCATGACGACACTTACAGCGCGAGAACAAAACGACGACACAGAGACAAGACGTACACGAAAGACATGTTCTCGCGCTATAAGTATCGTCATGCCATACCAACTAGCCCAAGCTGCCACACTTCTAAGTCGCGAGCCAACATGGCAGGGAGGTCTCAGGAGAAGCTGTTGCGCGCGGGCTCGGCGCCACTGCTGCGAGCCAGCGTCATCCACAACGCAGCAAATGAAGCACGCGCTTGGGAACGACGTAGCTGGTAACACAGCCAATGGAAACCACTCATGACACCAATGCAGAATGAATTTTTGTTTCTGCTAGCAATATACTGCTTTAGCTGTAAAAAAACCTTAGTGAGTCTTATTTCGAGTGAGCTGAGTTTACGAACATTTTTGGTTAGTCTGCGTCGGAGCAAAACATGTTTCTTGGGTGAGCCTGAGTGAGCACCAATCCCTTGCCAACTTTTGCCTATATCTCGTCGATTAAACGCCATGTATATGGTTTCGAGAAAAATGTCAATTGTTATTACATTCATAAGGAAGGTGTATTGACAAATGATAAGGGAGGTCAACAGAGCTTCAGAAGTACCGCCTTCGTGATAAATCACGTAATTTAGGCGTTGCATTGTGGGATTGCTGGGGCATATTGGAAAAGCACATTTAGTGCTGGTGTTTGCGAGTACCAGTGCGTCTCTTACTCTTTGTCCTCGTCTACACCAGCACTCAGAATCTCCGTATTAAGTTACTGCTTTACGGAATAGACTTGCTCGTATCTTACTCGTGTCAGTCTTCAGGATATGTAGTGAAGTACCACAGTATATCGCAAGATTGCAAAGGTAGCTTTAAGCATCGCGTACACCCAGTGAATTCACCGACAGAACTCTCAGAGTAATGGAGGATTTCAATGTTACTTACTGAGGAGTGTCCGCTGTCCATAGGGATAACTTTTTTCAAGTCATACAAATGTTGCCATGAAGTTGCCAACACGCGTTCAAGGTAAACGTAAACTTGAACAAAGCATAGAATTTCTCCCCTGTCTTTGTTTCTACTTTGATGAATAATGCTGTGCACTTGATTGTGACGCATGTAAGAATGGGAAAAACCTCGTAAGTCTTCAATGGCAGCTCACCATACAGAAACCTTTGTCACGACTTACACATGGGGACGACATTAGGTGCATGGCACTATCCGTGTATTGAAATTATGGAAATTCCTCCCTCTTTCACATTTCTATTTCTGTATTCAGTTCACCACTCCCTAGCGCTCTAAGCTAGATGAATCCTAACGCGCGTACAGTACTTTTTTGTTGACCCCATGCTACATGTTCAAGCTTTATCAATGCTTTGTGCTAGACTGCAAGTAAAAGGACGGAAAAATAAACTCTTACTGCCTCCTTAAAACGGCACGTGTGAGGAGCCATAACATTTTGAGGGTGGTGGGGGTTGATATCAGTTTGCATATGTACGTGCGTGTGTTTGTATGCGTGCGTGTATATATTGCATGTAAAATTTTATGAGAAAAGAGATTCTAGTATTGAGGGTGTTGCTGTAGTCAACGTTTCTGTAAGTAGTTCCGTCTTCTTCAAGGGAGGTAGTTGAGTGTGGAAGTTCTCATGCCTTAACATCACTTGTTGATACGTTGGCTACAGTGGTACTCCAATTCGTAAGTTTTTTTTTGCACGTCTTGAAGCATGCGCTTTCGGTACAAGAACGTTCCACTACCCAACACCATATTCAACTCCCTGCATGGAAACACCAGACAAACAAGTCAATTGAATATAAATACTTCTCCCTGCAACAATGTTTATGGGGAATGACTCAAACCTGGAACACTGTGCCGCTAGCAATAAAAACTATGTGTCACTTCCACCTTCGTGCAAACGCTTTTTCTTGTCTAGTGATTTCTAATCACCTTTCACAGGTAGTTTGTAAATCGAAGAAATTTGCAAGATCAACCATTTTCATGACCAATCATGTGCATTACTAACTTTTATGTATTTTCTGTTTTGAACCAGCAACTAGCCACGTAGGCTATTGGTCCAACTATTATGGACACATCTTTTGTATACACCACTTAATAAACTCATTTTGACTTGATTTGATTAAACTTGTGCCTTGTATACAAATATAAAAAATTTTGGTTGGCTACTCGAGAGCTATTTTTAAAAGGTTTGAAAAATAAAATAATAGTGAATTTCCTGGTGCAAAGTGGCAGCAGCGAGCAGATGGCCTAGTTATTTGGAGGAGCATGGAAGGGTCCTTCACCTTGCAGTTAGTGTAGTCAAGCTCCTGATAAGGAGACGAGAGGCTTGGACCACTCCACCTCCCCCCCCCCCAGCCCTAAGCCAGTAAAACTGGTAATTTATGATTGAGGGTGTTCAGCTATACTTAGCGAGAAGTGTTCGCCTATG